TTTTGGCCGATATTTCGCCCAAGTGTATGGGGCTTAAGAGTACATCCCACAAGATGGTTGCTATTCCTTTTTAACGTGAAAAGTATCTATTGTGCCCTTCTCTGATCTAGTTTCTCTTTGTTTAGGGTATTGCTGTCAAATGCATGCAATGCAAACATATCTCTAATAGGACATGCTGCGTTCAGAGAAATGCAGCATACAACAGGCAAAACGCAGCCTCAGAAGCGCCATCCACGTTGCACCATTGAGTGAAGTAGAAATCATCAATCGTCAGTACAAGCTCTTACTGAGATATGACTTTTCCTGACTTAATGGCAAAGTTCCACCTACTGCCATCCTCCTGTCCTGTATTACTCAGTAACCCTCCATGAGGGCAGATGGTAGGGCTCAATCAAGGAGTGTAAAAGAGCTCTCTAAAGCCCTTCGCAACCTTATTGTTGAAAAACATACTGATGGCATTGGTTACAGAAGGATTTCTAATCTTAATATTCCAGTGAGCACTGTTGGGGCCATAATCTGGAAATGGAAAGAACATAATTTCATTATAAACCGGCCATGACCGGGTGCTCCTCGCAAGATTTCTGAGAGAGGAGTGAAAAGAATTATCAGAAGAGTTGTCTAAGTCTAAGAGCCAAGGACCATTTGTGGAAAGCTTCAGAAAGACCTGGAATTGACAGGTTCAATTGTTTCAAACAAAACAATAAGAAATGCACTCAACCGCCATGGCCTGTATGCACGCTCACCACGCAAGACTCCACTGCTGAAATAAAATCATGTTAAAGCTCGTCTAAAGTTTGCTGCACAGCATTTAGACAAGTCTGTGAAATACTGGGAGAATATAGTCTGGTCAGATGAGACCAAAATTGAACTCTTTGAATGCCATAATACACACCATGTTTGGAGATCAAATGGCACTGCACATCACCCCAAAAAAAACCACACCAGCGGTGAAGCATGGCGGTGGGAATAGGGCTGTTTTTTCACAATACGGTACTGGCAAACTTCATGTCATTGAAGGAAGGATGAATGGAAAAACGTACCAAGACATTCTTTATAAAAAATCTGCTGCCATCTACCAGGATGATGAAGATGAAACGAGGGCGGACATTTCATCAAGACAATGATCCCAAACACAAAGCCAAGGAGAACGCAATTTTTTTCAAAGAAAGAAAATACAGCTGCTAGAATGGCCCAGCCAATCACCTGACTTGAATCTAATAGAAAATCTATGGAAGGAACTAAAGGTCAGAGTTCATAGAAGAGGCCCACAGAATCTTCAAGATTTGAAGACTGTGTGGGAGAATGGGCCAAAATCACACCTGAGCAATGCATGCGACTAGGTTCTCCATACAGGAGGCGTCTTGAAGCTGTCATCATCATCAAAGGATTTTGTACGAAGTATTAAGTAAATTTCATTTAGCGTGTTCAATACTTTTTCCCTGGGTCCAGTCCATTTTATTACACATATATATATACACATCAGGGGCGGATTGACCATTTGGAAATTCGGGCACTGCCTGAGGGCCCGGTGTCAGTAGGGGGCCCCATGAGATGCCCCTGGTACCTTTTTCATAGGCTTTGAGTTTGGGCAAGGACACAGGGGCCCCATGATCCCCTATTGCCCGGGGGCCCCATGAGTTGTCAGTCCGCCCCGGGTTTAATATGACTTCAATGTGAACCTCCGATTTGAAATGAGGTATATGATATGAAGGGGGAGCTCTGATGTAAAGGGGGGGGGGCTCTGATCTCCAAATGGAGAATTCTGATGTGAAAGGTTGAACTTTGATCTGAAATGAAGAATATGATATGAAGGAGGAGCTCTTATCTGAATGGGGGGGGGGGGGAGGGTGCTCTGATGTGAAGGGGGAGCTCTGATGTGAAATTGGACTCTGATTTGCTCTGTGAAAGGGGAGATTGCGACTTGAAATGGGAGCATTGTGGTGATGGGTTCATGATTTGAAAGGGAGATGTGATGTGAAAAGGGGGTCTTTAATAGAAGCAGGGGGGCTCAGATGTGATGGGGGAGCTTCTGATGTTAAAGGGGGACTCTGATGTGAGGGGGGAGTGATTTTTTTTTCCTCCCCGGAATATGTGTACAATATACAGGGTGGGCGTCATACAGAAAAAGATGGGAGGAGTCTCTGCCTCTGATGACATTCATCGCCTCTGTGTGTTTTGTGAAGTGTGTGAGGGAGTGCGCACATTCCGATGTGTGGGTTATAACATAAATGTGGGGGGAGGGAAGGGGGGGGTCTTGGTCGCATTACACCATTTTGCTGGCGTATACAGGGGCAGACTGGCCATTTAGAAACTGGGGCACTGCCCGAGGGCCCGGGTCAGTAGGGGGCTCCATGAGATGCCCCTGGTACCTTTTTCATAGGCTTTTTTGAGTTTGGGCAAGGACACAGGGGCCCCATGATCCCCTTTTGCCTGGGGGCCCCATGAGTTGTCAGTCCGCCCCTGATACACATTATATATATACATACAGATGCCTGCGCACACAGGACTTTTTCGTTTGTGTGTGGAATGCAGGGGAACGTGGTTCTGGCACCTCCAGCATTAAATGTATGTAATACATGTATGCTGCAAAAGGGGCCCAAACCAAGTACTGAGTACATATGCATGCTTCTACTTTTCAGAGATCCGATATTGTTCTATGTACAATCCTTGTTTTATTGATTGCATGGAATATTCTCATTTTCTGAGATTGTGGATTTGGGGTTTTCATGAGCTGTAAGCCATAATCATCACAATTATGACAAATCACGGCTTGAACTATCTTGCTTTGCATGTAATGAGTCTATCTCATATATTAGTTTCACCTTTTAAGTTGCATTACTGAAATAAATGAACTTTTGCATGATATTCTAATTTTTCGAGTTTCACCTGTATATTGTACATTCACATCAGTCCCTAACCTTCAAGGGGCGTACAATCTAAAGTCCCTAACTTACATTCATACATACACATACTAGGGACAATTTAGACAGAAGCTAATTCACCTACCAGCATGTCTTTGGAATGTGGAAGGAAACCTGAGTACCCGGAGGAAACCCACGCAGGCACAGGGAGAGCATGCAAACTCCAGGCAGGTGGTACTGTGGCTGGGATTTGAACCGACCCTAGTACTGCCAGGCGGAAGTGCTAACCATTTAGCCACTGTGCTGCCCCACTAGTTAAATCCCAAATGTTACCAAAGGTGAACTTATTCTTCAATATAAATTAGGCCCAGTGGTCACTGGCAGGCCATTGCATCCAGACGCTGGTCTAACAGCTGATAACCCTGTACAAGCTAATGCCCCTAAACATGCAAAGTGCAGAAGGTGAGCCAATCATAGACCCTTCATGTTGATGGGATAAAAGGGTCTTGTAAGCCATGATTCCCAGAAGGTAAGAGGATCAATGTTCCATTCTCCCCACCCCCATCTTGGGATAATTGAATCTTCGTTAAAGGATTTCTGTAGAATAATTGGATAATACAAACCTTGTATGCAATTTGGGTAAATGCAATGAAATCCCACTGCGTACATTGTCAATACAAGTCTGCTAATTCCCCTGCCTCAATTATCTTTTGTTTTTTTTTCCTTTATTTTAAAGGGACGCTGCAGGTGTTATCAGTGAGCTCCGATGTTTAAGCTGATTCAGCCTTGGGGCTCCATGTACACTGCAGATGATGGACTCGCACTTCAGAGCTGTTCTGCGTTTTGTTTCAGCAGCCCCTGAACTCTCCCTAATGGTTTACTATGTGTCCATGTACACATCTTCGTTTACAGGCAGTTGAGTTTACAGTAATTTTTTTGAACGCAGAAAACTTACATTCAGCAGTAGATTTTAGCAGCGTTTCAAATGCAAAACGCTTGTAAACGCGTTTATAGGTGTTTGCTTTTGAATTTTTTTTTTTTTAACTCTTCCATTTCCAGATGCTGTCCAGAGCCTTTTTTTCATCATGAAAAATGCATGTAAAGTGTTTTCCCCCGGTACTCAGTTGGACCCGGTACACCAGCCTTTGAGGTTTTGCATAAAATATGTTATACACCGCTGTAATAATTTCTGCACAGAAATGAGCTGGAACACATCCAAACACCACAAAAAAAACAGCTAATCTCAACACATACTGCTCTCTCTGCTTCTGCTCTATTTCTCTCAAAATGTCTGAAATAGTTAATTTTTTTTACTGTTTTTCAGTGCATTCTGGGTATTTTGGAAGGTCTCCTGAGGTTATCTTAAAAAAAAAAAAAACACTTCTTCTAACTGGGTAGCACAGTGGCTAAATGGTTAGCACTTCCGCCTGGCAGTACTAGGGTTGTTGGTTCAATTCCCAGCCACGGCACCACCTGCCTGGAGTTTGCATGTTCTCCCTGTGCCTGTGTGGGTTTCCTCCGGGTGCTCCGGTTTCCTCCCACACTCCAAAGACATGCTGGTAGGTTAATAGGCTCCTGTCTAAATTGGCTCTAGTATGTGTATGTATGAATGTGAGTTAGGGACCTTAGATTGTACACCCCTTGAGGGTTAGGGACTGATGTGAATGTATAATATATATGTAAAGCGCTGTGTAAAATGATGGTGCTATATAAGTACCTGAAATAAATAAATGCAAACACTCAAAAACGCAAAACTCGGCTAAACGGATGTTTTTTAACCTATGTTTTCCAGCAGTCAGTTCCCATTGTTCAGAAGTGTCCCGTGTACATGGGGCCTTAGACCTAATATTTACTATGTCAATGCATGGTCAGTAAAAAGGAGCCCTTTTGATGCACTATGTCAGGGCTTGAAATTCCCACTCACCAAATGCGAGGGGAAATCCCTTTGTGGCGAGCACAGATGGAACGGGTGGCTTGCAATGCGATCCCCAGGCCTTTGGAATCGATTTGCGCTCCAAGCCTCATTGTGAAACCGACTTCCGGTTTCTTCACCTCCGGGACACGAGAGGCGGACCTGGGCAAGGTTTGGTGGGGCAACTGGTGGAGAGTAAGGTTTGTGCCTGGCTAGTAGGTCTAGACTCAAAATTTTAAGCCCTGCGCTATGTTATGTAGTGACAGATTTGTTTTTGGAAGGATTAAAAGAAAACGAAGAATGAATGGCGCACTCGCCTGTGTGTATGTGATACAGCCGTTGCTGCAGTTGCTTTCAGTGTTTGTGTATCCTGAGCAGATTAAATCTTCTTTACATGCATCAAACCTGTTGAGACAATGTTAGTACAGTTAGGTTTATGCATCAGTTGTAGCTAGATAACTCTATCAAACGAAATGTTCACTCATCGTATTAACCAATAGAATCTTGGCAAGTTTTCAGAAGTTCTGCGAAGAAGTATTGGGTAGGTACAAGGAACATCATTGAAGACTATGCCTTCTGCTGTATACACATAAACACCATCTAGGATGCCCATTTTTATCCCAATTTCTGACAAGATCAGTAAAATATTTAAAGGGTAAGGCTGGCCATACACTAAATAAGTTTCTGTCTAATTTCTGCCCAATTTCCTTTAGATTTGCCTTCAACTATGTAGTGCAAGGGACTGCTTAATTGGATGTTTTAATTTAAATATTTATTCATTTTTCAGATAAACAAGTTATACAAACACTCATTAAAACCTTAGCTTATTATCAAAACATTTATCATTTCATCCCTTTCCCCCCTCCCCTACCTATTTACCACCCATTCCCCCCCCCCCCCCCCCCCCCCCCCCCCTCTAATCCCTGACCCCTTCTGCTCTGCATTTTCCTGTTCATTTCTGAAGATCGTAATCCCTATAAAAGAAGAGCAAAGCATGCTTCCATATTATTCTATGTTAATCCCCCATAAACTCTAAGGCTAGTCTTGACTTTTTGAATTCCATTTGTTCCATCTTGTATGGTGACTCTCCATCTTATCTTCATTCAAATGACAAAGTTCCTCCAATTTACATATTTGATCCACCCTTTCCACCCAGTCTTTTATTTTCAGCACCTCCTGTCTCCTTCAATACTTGGGTATCAGTCCCTTTGCTGCATTCAACAGGTTAGTTTTACAGGTTATAGTTAGTTACCTTCCCTTTGCTTCTCTGATGTTCTGTTCATTGGCAGAAGAAAAAGGTATGAAGGAGCATGTGATTCACTCCATGTGACAGTTCTGGGCCAATTGGTGCTGTCATAGGGGAGCCCATACCACTCTGTAAGCTGCCACATCGGCTACTTACCGCATACACAGCCAAAATAAGCAGAGGAGGAGAGAAAAAGATGGGACATTTTGTGCTGGACTTGGAAAATGGCTCTCTCCATTGGGGGCTTCAGTCATGTCCAGGGGCGGACTGCCCATTTGGAAACTCGGTCACTGCCCGAGGGCCCGGGGTCAGTAGGGGGCCCCATGAGATGGTACCTTTTTCATAGGCTTTTTTGAGTTTGGGCAAGGACACAAGGGCCCCATGATCCCCTATTGCCCGGGGGCCCCATTAGTTGTCTGTCCGCCCCTGGTCATGTCACACTGCCAAGGTGGCATACATCTTAGTAGAGGGCACATACAAGCTATAGTGATTGTGTTTACATCTCTTCTACATTTATAGCAGACTAGAAGTATATTCTTACCATTGGTCACAAAATCTGTCACAGAGGGGCAGCTCGTGTATCCCGCCGGGCGATCCAGGAAGACCCCACTTGGAGATGTGTGGGGAGCAGAGATGCATACATTGCACACGGCTGATGTATTCTTCACACCTGAGGGAAATGAAGGGCAGTGTTTTAGTTGGGTTGTGTTCACCGGAGGGAACTGTAATTCTTGCCTCTAGTAACTATCTGGATTCTCTTTTAATCTCCTTTCTATTGTTTTCTTTGCTTCATTGAGGAGCACATAGTAGGATCAGGTTTGATAAAGACAACAAAGAAAGCTTCTCCTTTTGCGCCAGATCACAAACTGGATCCGATGTTGAAATTGTGCGACTTCACTTGTCGCACGTCTTCTTTCTTCTTTTTTTTTTTTTTTACATTCTTTATGAGATTTTACATACAAATAGGAATGCTTAAAGAACAGGCACAAGGTTCAGCATCATCCATTTCCACTGTGAAACACTCTAATGAGCGATATAAAAATGTTCCAAGTTCAAAAAGTTGAAAAGCTATCATCAGGAATAAAATTGAGATAGCAAGATATAGAAAATAAGCATTCCATCTGTACTTTTTATAAGATAACACTACAGAAGAAAAGTTCCCAGAAAGAAACAAGGGAATCAAGCCAGAAGATGGAGGTGGTTGGGGAAAAGGGGGGGGGGGCAAGGGACTGAGGATGGAGGAGGATGTCTCACTCCCCCAAGTGCACAATGTACGCATATTCACTAGAGCAGGTAACGAGGGTCCAACGGAACCACCTACGGGGGAAATTTTCCTCTTGCCGTAAAGCGAGGCCATGATACTTTCCATTGACTGAATTTCAGCAATTCTACTCCACCACATGGAGAGAGAGTAAGGGTCTCCCATTTCCAGAGTAATGGCATGCAGGCCCAAGCAGAATTTAACAAGTGCACTAACATGCTTTTATAAGGTTGACCATACATTATACAATTTACTGGAGAATTTGAGCAGGTAAAGATGGTCCAATGGAACCAACTACGGGGAAACTTTTCCTCTTGCTGTAAAGCGAGGCCATGATACTTTCCATTGAATGAATTTCAGCAATTCTACTCCACCACATGGAGAGAGAGAGGGAGGGTCTCCCATTTCCAAAGTAATGGCATGCAGGCCCAAGCAGAATTTAACAAGTGCATTAACATAGAGTTTTTTATAGCGTTTCCTCGAGAGGTCAGAGTGGTGCAGTAGGTACTTGGCCGGGTCCTCTCCCAGATCAAAGTACATCAGATGTTTAATAGTCTCCCTAACTTGAGACCAAAAGTTGGCCAGTGTTCTACAAGACCAGAAAACATGAAGGATCGTGCCCTCTTCCTCCTTGCAGCTCCAGCAAATGTTCGTCGCCTCTGGATAAGTCGCACAATTTCAAAGTCTGATGACAGTACGACTTGCTAGACCACTGCGTGACTTCATGTACAGATGTCTATACAAGTCGCACCCCAAATCGGAAAAAGTAGTGCAGGGCCTACTTTTCTAATTGGTGTGACTAACGAAGTTGGAGGCGCACCGATTAGAATGGTTCCATTGCTGATCATTCCATGCGATTTGAACGGTCAAATGACATGACTATTAGCATGGGCTTAGATAATTTGATAAATTATATTCTTAGGCAATATCACCTGGAACTGAGGGGTCCACATCCATCCCATGGGAAAGGGGTGAATGGAGGGGCATCTATGTGTTCCTGAGAGCAGCAAGAATCTGGAAAAAAAAAAAAAAAAAAACATTAGATGACAGAGGCTACGGTCTTCCTGCACTCTACTTATGGGCTCATGCACACTTGAACTAAAAAATGCTACATTTACAGGCATTTGAGCTTTTTTTTTTTCTTCTCTGCCTCTAGGGGTTCTTTGAGCAATGACCATTGACCATAAGTGTAATGGGGTCCTTCTACAATGACCACCAAAGGGAGGCATTCTCCACTAACCACTAATGCCACGGAACACTTCAGTGACCACCAATGTAAGAGGGCACTTTTTTTGCTTACTACCACTGTGAAGTAACCATACAGGTTTTACGTTCTGCATTTTTTTCTGGCTATTATTATTACTGAAAATAATTTTGTCTTATGAAGGCTCCATTTGCACGGACGTTTAACTGTAATTGAGAGCCGCATGTGGGTAGCTACGGCCACCGAACTTGTACACTGCAATGACAGGCTGTCGCCACGTATTTGTGCCTGTTTGCACAGCAAGTGATTACCTGCAGTAACAGCGGCTGGATGCATTCTGCCAAACATGCCTAGTGCAGCTCACGGTATCCTCTGGAAAAACAAATTAGTCCATGCACAGACCTAAAGTATGTAGCCATTTTTATTTTATGTTGAAATCCATCCACATAACAAGAGAACACTGTAGACATGTAATTATATAAAAGGTAAAAAATATCTGGCAGGTTTAAATAAGTTTTACATAAAACTTATTTAATAAGTTTGGCTAAATAAAATATGAACATAGCCAGTAGCCTCCCTAGTGGTCTGATTATGTCCATATTTCTGTGCTCAAAGCGGTACATTTTTTTGCATGGAAATATGTATTTTTTTTATTTTAAGACTGTAATTTTTAGCTGTAATTATAATTTATTAAATAATCATAAAAAATAATACTATAATAACACATTTAATTCAATAATGTAATCAAACCAAAAACACTGAAATTTGAAATAGAGCGCCAAGTTCGCACATCACTGAGCAAAGTCGCAAAATCGTTTTCAGTGTCTGATGACGAATTACCCCCACGAATCATTATCACTCAATTCTGCAAGTGGTTCTAATTTACTATCGCTGTTCTCTAGCCGGTCTAAAACCGCTTTTGACCTAAAGGGACGCTTTTTGGACGCCATGGACGTTTCTCAGTGTATGATAAAATATGAAGCACAAAATCATAAATTATAATTTAATAAATAATCATAAAAAATAATAATATAATAACACATTTAATTCAATAATATAATCAAACCAAAAACACTGAAATGTGAAATATAGCGCCAAGTTCGCACATCACTGAGCAAAGTCGCAGAATCGTTTTCAGTGTCTGATGATGAATTTCCCCCACGAATCATTATCACTCAATTCTGCAAGTGGTTCTGATTTACTATCGCTGTTCTCTAGCCGGTCTAAAACCGCTTTTGACCTAAAGGGACGCTTTTTGGACGCTATGGACGTTTCTCAGTTTCCAGGCAGAAAAAACAGTAATAATGCAGGCAGGGCGCCGGACAAAGCACTCAGGACACAATGTATGTGAAATGGTTTGATACAGGAATGGAATACTATGTGATTTTAGTGTATTTAGTGAATGTCACTTTTTCACATTTTTAAATTTCCTGCCGTGCCGTCCCCCGTATGTCCCGACGTCGCAGGGGATGGAACCCAGAAGACAGATGCCGGCATCGGCCGGAGGAGATGGGCGGGGAAACTTCAGGAGGGACATCGCGGGAGCGCAGCACAAGGTAAGTGCTGGAGGGATCCCGGAGCAACGCTGCAGGGTATTCCCGAGTGTAGCTCGGGGTTACCGCTTCTAGTACTGAAACTTTATCCCGAGCTACACTTGGGAATACCTCCAGGGAGGTTAATTATGATTTTTTTTTTGGTGAATTACAATTTATGAGAGTAGCTTGCTTTCTATAAAAATAAATTAAAAATGATGTAATACATTTATTATAAAAGGAAAATAAGGATTAAAAATCTGGAAAAACTAGGCTTTGCACAAATGATTGTCCAGCCCAGTAGTATGTAAAGAAAAATAAAGAATAAAACCTTGATGGATGTAAACCTCAAGAGTATAACAATTGTCTCCGTCGAAATGTAGAGTGCAGGCGATGGAGATGAATAAAGTTGTTTTGGTAACTATCCATTCATCCACAAGGCTACAAGCTAGGATATTGGGGTTATGTTTGAGGTAGCTAACCTAAAAGACTACAAATGAGATGTACGAAACATTGATCTGAAGTGCTGGAAGGTAATTTACAACAATATAAGTGAGGATGGTGATATTTTAGTCTGTGAAAGCTTGTCTACAGTCATGATTAAGATGATGTATTTTGGAAATCAGAAAGCTTGATGTCAGAATAAAGATTGAGAAGAAGAGTCTACTAATTAGGACCAGGATGCTTTATGGAAAAGGAAGATGGAAAAAAGTAAAAAAAAAAAAAGTATTGATGAAGATGTGTGTTGAAAACAATGGAGGCCAGTCAGTAAGACTACAATTATGTTGGAAAGGTTACTTGTGCTCTTGTAGAAAGTTAAATAATTGAGTGTTGTGATGGAGGAAGGTAGTCTACAAGGTAACAAATCTGGAGGTAAAGCAACCATTCTACAAGATGAAAAGTCAGGAATGAGATGCTAGCTGATTGAGAAGTCCAACCTACCAAGAGACATCAGAGTGGAGATACCATGTTTCAGTGGAGGAAAACTACAAGAAGTCAAAATGAAAAAGAATCGAGTCTACAAGTCAGCAAAGAGAAGCTGGTGGTTTGCAGCTGAGGAGTCCAAGTTACAAAGAAATATCAGGGTTGTGATACCATGTGGAGAAGACCAGCGTGCAAGTCCGGATGGAGGTGCTGGGTGTTCATGTGGAGGAAACCAGTACACAATGCCACACACAAATCAGAATGGTTGCATTACAATTCTACTCTGCATCATGTCAGGATATACTGTAGATGATAGGAATTGGGGTAGGTGAAGTAAAACAAGTCCTAATGAAGATGACTGATGGTTAGGTGTTTACCAATCCCTAATCAAGACCAGAAATGATCGATGTTGAGGGGGGGGGGGCACTCTGCAAGTCTAAAAAAATTTGAGATGCTGATTGCTGAAGTGGACTACTTCTTACTACCTGTAGCCGAATGAAGATGCTGTGAGATGGTATGTAATAAAGCTAGGGATATATTAAAAGCATACAAATCAAGATCATATAGTTTGAGTCAAAAGAGGCCAATCTACAAATCCAAGCTGGAGATGCAGGGTGTTAGGATGGTGAAAATTAGCCTACAAGGCCACATGTTATACTAGAGATGCTTGTTAGTTTGGCAAAAACCTGTCAAGAACTTGCTTGAAAGCCAATAATTAAATAGCTTGAACAGGGTTGAGGACAGGACAGGGTTGATCTGAGCAGCAAGGGTTACAGATTTACAATAATAGGTCATCTGTGATATGAGATGAGTTATGGTGTGCACAACGTTAATGACACCCCCCCACCTCTTCCACCACATCTCCGTCTCTTAGTTTTACAGATCACACTCACGGCTAGAATACTGCTGGCACTTTGTTAGTCCAGATTCTGCGCTGGCAGCCTCCTTCTGCTTCCTCTCTACAAGACATCTGCCATGATGTCCCCAAGATGTGGAGAACAGGAGAAAGGGGAGAAGGGAAATTAGCAATGGTGACATCCTATCCTAACAGAGAGAGAGAGAAAACAAAATCATTAATTCAGAATAACAAACAAATTATGTAATTGTTTATTACAGTAAGTACTGTATTGCAGAATGTCTTTGTACCCCGTGATATCTTATTACAGTAACCCGGCTCCCGAGTGTCTTATTCCCCCTGTAATATCTTATTACGGTAACCCGGCTCCCGAGTGTCTTATTCCCCCTGTAATATCTTATTACAGTAACCCGGCTCCCGAGTGTCTTATTCCCCCTGTAATATCTTATTACGGTAACCCGGCTCCCGAGTGTCTTATTCCCCCTGTAATATCTTATTACAGTAACCCGGCTCCCGAGTGTCTTATTCCCCCATAATATCTTATTACGGTAACCCGGCTCCCGAGTGTCTTATTCCCCCGTAATATATTATTACGGTAACCCGGCTCCCGAGTGTCTTATTACCCCGTAATATCTTATTACGGTAACCCGGCTCCCGAGTGTCTTATTACCCCATAATATCTTATTACGGTAACCCGGCTCCCGAGTGTCTTATTCCCCTGTAATATCTTATTACGGTAACCCGGCTCCCGAGTGTCTTATTCCCCCTGTAATATCTTATTACTGTAACCCGGCTCCCGAGTGTCTTATTCCCCTGTAATATCTTATTACGGTAACCCGGCTCCCGAGTGTCTTATTACCCTGTAATATCTTATTACGGTAACCCGGCTCCCGAGTGTCTTATTCCCCCTGTAATATCTACGGTAACCCGGCTCCCGAGTGTCTTATTCCCCCTGTAATATCTTATTACGGTAACCCGGCTCCCGAGTGTCTTATTACCCTGTAACATCTTATTACGGTAACCCGGCTCCCGAGTGTCTTATTCCCCTGTAATATCTTATTACGGTAACCCGGCTCCCGAGTGTCTTATTCCCCTGTAATATCTTATTACGGTAACCCGGCTCCCGAGTGTCTTATTACCCCTGTAATATCTTATTACGGTAACCCGGCTCCCGAGTGTCTTATTCCCCCTGTAATATCTTATTACGGTAACCCGGCTCCCGAGTGTCTTATTCCCCTGTAATATCTTATTACGGTAACCCGGCTCCCGAGTGTCTTATTGCCCCTGTAATATCTTATTACGGTAACCCGGCTCCCGAGTGTCTTATTACCCTGTAATATCTTATTGCGGTAACCCGGCTCCCGAGTGTCTTATTCCCCTGTAATATCTTATTACAGTAACCCGGCTCCCGAGTGTCTTATTCCCCCTGTAATATCTTATTACAGTAACCCGGCTCCCGAGTGTCTTATTACCCCTGTAATATCTTATTACAGTAACCCGGCTCCCGAGTGTCTTATTACCCCTGTAATATCTTATTACAGTAACCCGGCTCCTGAGTGTCTTATTACCCCTGTAGCATCATAATACAGTAACCTAGTTCCTGAGCCTAACCTGTTGCTCCTTATCATTGAGTGAGTCACACTTTCTGTCCCTTAGTCACTGCTGATATCTCTTTCATAGTTGCCTGCAAAGGCTTTATCCTACAGATTAGCCTAGATGCCTAGATATATTTATATCTAACCTTTTTCCTGTCTGCTCAGCTAGACACTCCACCTGCTCTTCAGTCAGACACAAAACTCAGATTCTTGCAAATACAAGACAAAAAAAAAAAAAGCCCCAGCAAAAAAAAAAAAGAAAAAGCTGCACATATTCACCAACCCTTCTCTTCCCCATAACTCTGTGTATTCACCAGAAGAGAACAGAAGCACCCTGAACTTCTAGCCAGTGCTTGTTCTTGGCATTTAATCACTCAGGCACCCATCCCTGCCCCATCGGGAGGTGAGAGAACCTCAGCCCTGCGCAAATTCTAAGTCGCCAACTCTTTTCCAAGTGAAGCAGGGGGTAGTGCAGGCCAGATGAGTAGGGGCTGCTGTTAGGGGCTACCACCTGTTGCTCTGTCCTCCTTATTTTCACCTGGTGTTCTAGGGCGTACAACACTCACCCACTTTACTGTATCTACATTGTACAGAGGAGCAGTGTTGTCACCCTAGGGCGTACATACTGCAGAACACCTCCCCTCCTCTCCTCTCAATAACATAGGTGGGGGAGGTGTTCTATAGTTCACAGAAGGGACCTGGACAGGACAGATAACACTGCACAGTGACACAGGACGGCACTGGATTTCCGAACAGCTCAACAGGTATTTTTTTGCACTTATCGAACAGATATAACAAATTAGTATATTTCATAAGACAAAAAGGCAGAAATAAGAGAAGTACATTGTTAGGATTACGTACACTTTCACAGCAGGTAAGGTACAATATCAGCCACACAAGCAGTGCATTGTTTTTAATGTGTCCGCTGCCTTTTCAACGTGCATTTTGAGAAAGAGCAATATAGCACAACCCCTGTGCAGCACCACAAAGTAGGAAGCAGGAACTGAGCATGTAATGAGCAAATCCGGCTGTCCCCCAGGCACATAGTATATATTATTACACATAATAGAAAGGAATGATAACATTATTTACATCAAGCTCATCTCGTTTACACATAACTGTACATATATCTATAGCAAAGGCTAAAAAGGCAAATTTAATAAACTGTAAATGTGACAATCATCAAATATTCTTTTTGGTATGTAAAACACATTTACTAGAATGATTCACCTGCATCGGATGTCCGGTGAATGTCATATTTACTGCTTTATAAATATGCCTCTATATATACCATTTAAATTAGATTGTAAGCTCTTAGGAGCAAGACCCTCCCTCCTAACCCTCTAATTAAATTCTACTGTAACTGTAGGGTCTTTATTTTGTAAAGTGCAAACTGTTGGCGCAATATAAATCCTGTATAATAGTAATAACTATAATAGTGATAATAAATTAGATGGGAAAGCTAAAGCAACTGCAGATCTTGGGTAGCGCCACATTGCTAACCAAACTGTTTACAAATTTGACAGATACTTTTCTTATTGTGCAAAAAATTGACCACTGCCCCAATCTATAACTGGCCTTCATAGCAAGGAGCACATGGAAGGGCGACGCATATCAAACAGTAAAAAAGTAAAATTCCCAGCTCAACTTACCAACCAGCCTGCAACCAACCGAATTGTCCTAACAGTTTGTGTTAATAACAGGGGTTTTGTTTGCAGCTTACGCATGTATTTACAAATGTATGCAATCTAAACCCATGTTTTTAATGCAAACTGTTAGACTGGACAATTTGGTTGGTTCCAGGCTGGTCGGTAAGTTGAGCTGGGAATTTTTCTCTTTTATTGTTTGACTTTTCCTTTTGTGCATTTTTTGCAGTTACATGACCGCTCAGCCTCCATGCATGGCCGGTGGGTTGGGACTCTCCAAAGAACAAAGGTATACCGCTTAGGCAAACAATCCAGAACAATCCACAACTGGCGCAGGCTCTGGCTCACCACCACACATGATGCAATAAGAAGGGTCAGCCACACACCAGAGGATAGATGAATATAGTGTGTATTTATTGATCCATAGGACACACAAAACACCAGGAGATGTAGTCCTACACAGGAGGAGAATGAGTCCCAACCCACGATGCAATAGGAAGAAGGGCCAGCCACACACCAGAGGATAGATGAATATAGTGTGTATTTATTGATCCATAGGACACACAAAACACCAGGAGATGTAGTCCTACACAGGAGGAGAATGAGTCCCAACCCACGATGCAATAGGAAGAAGGGCCAGCCACACACCAGAGGATAGATGAATATAGTGTGTATTTATTAATCCATAGGACACACAAAACACCAGGACATGAATACAAGAGTTGTTAACGCGTTTCACACGATCTCATGCTAAATCACTGTGGTTAAGCACGAGATCGTGTGAAATGTGTTAACAGGTCCTGTATTCATGTCCTGGTGTTCTGTGTGTCCTATGGATTAATAAATACACACTATATTCATCTATCCTCCGGTGTGTGGCTGACCGTTCTTCCTATTGCATCGTGGGTTGGGACTCATTCTCCTCCGGTGTAGGACTACATCTCCGGAGGGCTACATTACCTGGGAGAGGGCTGACAACGTTACAAGACCTTTGAGGGAACCATGGCAGCGTTGTCAGCCCTCCCCAAGGTGACGTGGCCGTGTGGAAATGTAGTCCTACACATGAGGAGGATGCAGACACATCATAACACACCATTTCCATACAGAAGGCTGACAACGCTGCAAGACCTTTGATGGAATCACAGCAGTGTTGTCAGCCTGCTGTAAGCAAATGATGTGTCTTGGAGAGGTCGGGAAGGATCAACAGTTAGCATGTAATGATGCACACACCCTATTTATATGCAATATTAATATTTGTCTGTGTATACACTCTCAATTTATGGGAAGTTTTCCTGTTCTTTATACTTATTTTAGTTCAGGTACTTATATAGCGCCGTCAATTTACACAGCCCGTTACATATATATTGTACATTCACATCAGTCCCTAACCCTCAAGGGGCGTACAATCTAAGGTCCCTAACTCACATTCATACATACACATACTAGGGCCAATTTAGGCAGGATCCAATTCACCTCCCATCATGTCTATTACCCTGCAATTGTAGATCTTTAAGCACCCCACTCTGGCATAGCACACCACAGCTTAGTTGGGGTAGTAGGTACAGGCAAAGTAGACCTAAAATTGAAGGCAAACACTGCGGCAGATAGAATGCGATGCTGCATTATATGGCGTGAAATTGACCCATATAGGTTTGAAGACTGCAGTGCAGTTACACTTACATCTACCTGTTGCTCCATTGCTCTTTCTGGCTGTCTCGGTGTCAGTCCTCTGCAGTCTCCATGCCTCTTTCCGCATACAAAATCCCAGCTGAATCAGACCAGTATCACCTTTCCTGGTTTTGTACCACTTTCCCCCATTATCTGCATCATCCTCCCATCTGATCAATATGTATCCCTTGGTTACAATCACCCCCCTGTGCTTTATAATATATTTCATCCATATGTTCTCTTACCTATAATGCTGTGTTGCTGGGCCTCCGA